CGGAGCAGAAGGCGATCGAGCCCGATGCTAGCCCTCGGCAGAGTAGGGGGTTTGTCATCCTGGAAGGGTCAGGTGGCCAAATACAAGTTTGTGGAGGAGGAAGAAGACTCGATTATTATGAAAATCGAGCAACCCAAAGACCTGAAAGGTTCGGGCCCCTCCACACAAAAAGCTTACCTGCCGAAGAAGTCCACGAGTAGGAGCAATCCTATCGTCGTAGCAGCAGCGGAAGGGAAAAAGCCGCTGAGAAGTACGACGAATGGAAGAGAAAATGCGACTCGTTAATACGACCCAGAGGATAAGACCAGATGACGGTTGCGGGTAGATATAGGGGACTTTAAGATTAGATTACTCTATGATACCGGCGCCTCATCTGCGGTAATAGGTCCGTTAGGGCTGAGATTGGCATCGGAGATGTGACTTAGACTTAATGTGACTAGGGCGAGCGATGCAAGGCTCGCCGACGGGCGTCATCATTAGTCATGTGATGTTCCCCTTTAAGGTAGGAGGAGTCACAAGAAAGATAAGAATCGCCATTACGCCACTGTTCACGGAAGACTGTTACGTAAGCGCGATCTTTATAAGAGAGTTCCGCGCAGTTTTGGATCCCGATGAGGATGAATAATGGCTGAAGGACGCCCAAGTAAAAGTACCTATGGAAATGGCGGTAATTGATGGTACGGTATTTCTCGCACCGGTAGGACTGTGGAAGGCCACGGAAACAGAGCTTAAGGAAATTGAGGACCTCGTCAGAAGATTTATTTCTGACGGAGGAGAGGTTTTAGGCTGTGCCGTGGTTAAGCACGAAATAGATGTTGGAAGAGCTCGACCCCTCAAACAGAAGTACTACCCGGTGTCTGAAAAGGCGCGAAAGGAAACGCACGCGGTGATAAAGGATATACTGGAAAAAGATGTTATTGAACCAGCGACCAGCTGGTTGTCAAGTCCAGTGGTGATGGTAAAGAAGGCTGATGGAAAATATAAGTTCTGCATAAATTACCAAAAGGTAAACGCAATAACCAAACCAGATGCCTATCCATTGCCATATATGAGCGATATCCTAAGACGGATAAGGGATGCCAGGTTTATATCCACGCTGGACTTAAGTAGCGCGTACCATCAGATTCCCCTAAAGGAAGAGTCACGCCCGATATCGACGTTTACAGTACCAGGGTTGGGGCATTTTCAATTCAAGAGGATGCCCTTCGGACTGTCATACGACCTTTCAGAGGTTGATGGATAAGGTGATAGGCCCGGATATGGATTCATTTGCTTTTGCCTACCTCGACGACGTAATTGTGGTTTCGTCGTTATTTGAGGAGCATAAGTGACACCTTGAAAAGGTAATGAAGAAAATTCTTGGTCGGGCCTAATCATCAAAAAAATCAAAAGCCACTTCTGTAAAACGGAAGTAAGGTACTTGAGAGTTCTCGTGAACCAGTATCGAAGGGATGATCTCAATGTAGTGCTGGACGCATTGTCTAGGACCTATGAGGAGGAGGGGACTGAAGTGAGTGCCATAAATAGGCGGCCAGAGACCACTGATGCCTAGTATTTACAGCAATACCAGGAGGTATGCCAAGATTTACACTCACACCCCACATGGAAGGTAGTTTGGTGGAGACTGTACCACTATTAGCCTGATGAGGACGGCGAAGGATCCATCGACAACCAGGAAGCATGGAAGCTTGCGGTACCTAGAGGGAAAAGGCACCAAGTGCTCCAAGAGGTCCATGATGCTCCGACGGCAGGGCATCATGGACGAGAGCGTATGGTACGTTCTCCAGAGCTAGACGCTTGTACTACTGGCTTAAGATGTACGATCAGGTCAGGGAGTACGTGAAGAGTTGCCCGGTATGTCAGCAATGCATAGATGGAACAAAGGGCACCTTACGGGCTGATGGGTCGTAGACAAGTGTCACGAGCCTGGCAGTTGGTAGCCGGTGATATCACTGGCCCATTCCCCAAAAGTTCTCGAGGGTTTGAGTATGTCCTGGCCTTTATAGAACTTTTTACTCGCTGGGTGGAGTGCGTTGTAATACGCAAGCCAATGAGAAGACGATCGCAAGGGAATTACACGAACGGATTGTCACTAAGTTTGGCGCACCAGAGGTATTCTTATCGGATAACGGGACCGAATTTAAGAATCAGGAAGTCGATTCACACGTCCAGATGAAAGGCATCCAGTGCGCCTTGACTCACGTGTACCGTCCTCAAGCGAATCCCACAGAGCGAGTAAACAGGACGCTCAAAACCATGATCACGTCATACGTGAGCCGTGATCATAAGAGCTGGGATAAACACCTGTCAGAGTTCAACTTCGCGTTGAACTCGGCAACTCATAGCGCCACCAGATATAGTCCTGCGATACTCATTTTTGGGCAACAGCCCGTATCTCCTTTGACGTTCAGAAGATCCCAGGATCAGCAGGCCCTTGAGTGTTCGGAGGATCAAGCTGTAGTGGATTTGGCTGAACATATGGAGAAATTCCCTAACCTATGGGAGTGTGTTAAGTCCAAGTCAAAGGAAGAAGTGGCACGTCAGGCGGGTTATTACGATCGGAAGAGACGGCAACCCGAGTTTGAGGTCGGAGATTGGGTATGGAAGAGGAGCAGGGTACTCTTCTCGGCTGCCCAAGGCATATCAGCCAAATTAGCGTTAAAATACGCCGGTCCGTACGTGATTGAAGAGATATGATGTTCCAACATGTACAGACTGGGTAATCAGCTTGAGATCCTGCTTGAGCTCTTCCATGCCAAAGACCTTAAATGGTACTATGGTCCGGGCGAAGAAGAAAGCGAGGAAGCGACCGACGCCGAACCTTGTGATCCGCGCGAAGAAGGACCGTTGGAGGCGAGCGATTTTGTGAAAGCGTGCGAAGATCTGGGCGGGGATTTATCGAGCGAGCGGATCGAAATAGCAGCCCCCAGGGCCGTAGGTAACAATCCCACCAAAGCAACATATTTACCGATATCCGCATCAACCAAGAGAGGTCGATGTCGACCTCGGAAGATCTCAGAGACGGTCACCGGTCAGGCAAGAGGTGACAACTCTCCCGTAAAGGAATCTTGACGAGAGGTAGGCCTCGAAACCGTGCCCTTTGTACAAAGGACGGTTGGGCCGATCATCCTGAACAAGAGACGTGAAGGGAGCGGTAACCAACGATGCGACGTTTAGTAGGATTTTTTTTCACGCAGGGAGTTTCATCCAAAATTTTTTGTTTTGTATTTACAGATGGACCGGAGAATCGTCGTAGAAGAAGATACCTTCGAGGTGGTCACCCAGATGCTGTTATATCTGCAGCTGGACCCTGATGCGACGCAGCTTGAAGATCTGCGTAGCTTCGCCAAGGTCCAATTGGAGGGGGCCACCCGAAGGGAGCGCCACCATGGATCGGTGGCAGATGTTCTCCGAGATGCCACGTGGGTTATCCCGAAGAAGGCTTCTAGGGACACTTCGACCCAAACAGAGGACCAGGAAGAAGTCAAGCGTCCCAAGTCCACCATGGACCAGGGAGTGCAGAACCTTAAGTTTGGCGTACCCCAGATGTCAGATAGTGCGAGCCAGTGCCCTGGACCCATGGAGACCTGTGGGGCTTAGCACTGGGTCTGCAACTACCCCTTAATACCAGAGCAGCAGACTCTCCTCCTCGACTTCAGATATATACGTCTAGGGCTCAATGAGTACCTGGCGGTTCGCCGAAAATCTCCAGTCACAGGTGTATGATCACCTGAGACGTTTTATGAACCGCCAGGGTGCAGAAGAGCTGCTCGGGACGTGGGCAGAGGTGGCTCAACGCCAGAGGGCCTAAGGAGAGTCCTTGCTGCGGGTGGATAATGGATAGGAGTATATATATTATCACTCTCTGTTATTGAATTATTTGATTTTTGGACCATCCAGTAGTGACTGAATGCTGGACTGTGAACTAGTAATGATAAAATTAAGATAGATTTTATTTTTCAGACTAGCTGATGGTAATAAAAAGTTACGATGGAAGTTTCTTTTAATCTAATTTAAGATGATGAATACGAATTTTGATATTAATTTGTAAGAAAGTTAACAGATAGCTAGTTAATCATAAATTAATTATTTAAAAAACATTCATTTTATTTTGTCGACTTTCCACATATAGTCACACATTCCTTTATTTATAAAAAAATTATTTGGAATTTACAGATCTAAGCAATAAAGTATAACTTTAAAAATTCACCACTCCACAAGCCCACTTCAAAACGTATTTTTATTGCTTATTAAAATGCGTTATAGCTAAATTTAATCAATTTTTTTAGATTTTAAAGAACCAAACAAAATTTTTGTTTATAAAATAAGAAATGTGTTACTAATTTAAAAATTTTGTATAAACAATATATGGTTGATTAAACAATTAATTTATTAATAATTAATTCACTGTTACATTTTCTAGAAACTGTCATCAATATATGAAAATATATTTGAACGATAATTTTTTATCATCAACGGGCTGCCTGTAAAATGAAACTTATAATGACATGACTTCAATATTATTCTTAAGTTGTAAATAATTTTTTAATAAATTTCCGTTTTAAAAACATCTAAAGTATATTTTTCTTTTAGCTTTAATGTTTTCAATGCTTTTAAAGTCCAGGAACATTTTTGTTTGATTAATCTGTACTATTTCCTACGTTGATATTAAAGTTGTCAAACTCAACTTTCATTTCAGGCCACCAGGACAGCGCATCAGTATCACTAAATCCTATTCGCGTACCAGATTCTAAAATAAATCCATTTAACACATATCTTGCTTATCTCTAATTATACTTTGGTTAGTGTTGGGAAATCAGGAAATAGGAATTTCTCGTCCTTTTTGCTCCAATTTCCGTGTAGAGCACGTTGTTGCGGAGGTATGTTCTTAATTATTTTTAATTTATACCTATTAAATCTTCGCAAATAAACAAAAGAACAATGTATTAACATTCCATTTTTCTTTATTTAATCGTTAATAATAGGTGAATAATAAAACAAGTGACAGTAAATAATTTTATGAATTTTGCTTTATGAGTACACGTACCAACCTAAAAATTTGGTTTATTAACGCTTACTGTTCCGTCATTTAATGTAAAAAAAAAGATAAGAAAAATTTCTTTCAACCTAGTAAAGTGCAGCAAATAAATTTAAAGATTGTATAATAACTTTTAATAATTATAATTACAACACTAAGTTTTTACAAAATGTTTTAGATTATTCAACATGCAAATTTTTGTAAAAACTCTTACCGGTAAAACTATTACCCTTGAAGTAGAGGCATCGGATACAATTGAAAATGTTAAAGCTAAAATTCAAGATAAAGAAGGTATCCCACCAGATCAGCAGAGATTAATATTTGCTGGGAAACAGTTGGAGGATGGACGTACACTATCAGATTATAATATTCAGAAAGGTAAATAGCTATAAATGAGCTATGAATTTATATTGTATTCAATTTCATTCCAACCTTTAATAAATCATTTTATTTTTCATAAAAAGAATCTACTCTGCATCTAGTTCTTCGTCTAAGAGGTGGAGTTATTGAACCTACTTTGATGATTTTAGCACGTAAATATAATTGTGATAAAATGATTTGTCGCAAATGTTATGCTCGTCTTCATCCAAGAGCAACAAATTGTAGGAAAAAGAAATGTGGTCATACTAATAACATTCGTCCCAAAAAGAAATTGAAGTAAACTAAAATATTGTATTCTTTTTATATTTATTGGACAAAATAAATTTATAAATTACATTTTATTTTGAAAAATAAATTGCTTTAATAATTTACTGAATTGTAAATAACATAATTTAATCCTTCATCTGACTTTAATAAAATACTATAAAATATTTGAATTTCAAAACATATAAAAGTTATTTTCATAGTATATACAATTTTTATTACTAATACACTTTGTTTTATCATAAGATTTGAAATTTCAAATTCTACGATTAAGGTGATACTGATATACATGTCGTTCATACGAATCCATGTTGTTATGATTTGGTACTAATTTTGTTACCTGAAATTTATTCAACATAACATTATGTTAATGAGAAATGTTTAATTAACAGGAAGTATATAATACCTGTGCTCTTTCTAAGTATTGTTTATAAATAGAGAAGCTGCTGATATCTTTAATTTTGAACTCGGAAATATCAAAATAATATACTTGATTGAACAGTTTAGTAAAAAATTTGAAATGATCCATATTATATAAAGAATTTTTTCCTATCAATATAAATCTAAAACAAAATCTAAATAAAATGAAATGTATTTAAAATATTAATTGTAGTAAAGCAGATCTCTTACTTTTTATATAAAAGGACATCATTTCGTTTTGGGTGTTCAAGTTGACAACCATACATCTCTTTCATATTTGGAAAAAGTCCTTCAAATGTGAATTCTTGACTATTTTGAGATAATATTTGGTGATCAATAGATGAATGATTTTCTTCTTCTTCATCCGAACTACTAATGCTTGAACTACGATGATAATGTGCATATTCTTAAAAGTCTAACTTTTCAAATATAAAATTTTATTAGAATTACCTGGCACTAGAAGGTGTACTACTTGTACTACATTGACCTGTCATTGAAGGATTTTTGAAATTTATATTTCTACTTTGTGAGTCTTCTCTTCTTTTCCCTGGTCTAATTCTCACTACAAATGGACTAAAGTTTGTAGTAAAATGAGGCATAAAATCTCTAACTGAATGACTTATTTGATATGCATAAGTTTCTGATAATAGAGTTAATTCATATGGTCTGGAAGTTATTTTATTTATTAAATTAATTTATGAAATATATATATGTGGGGACTCAATGTTACCTGTAATAATCATAATAAATATCAATTTGTTCCTCTTTAGAGTTCTTCATCTGAATGGTTTCCAAAGATACTTTTTTTACATCAAAAAAAGGATACGGAAGATATTCTAAAATTTTATCACTCCACCATTGAGTTAGCATATCAGATTTTCGTGAATAATTACTAGCTAGAGAATGGTGTAAATAGTAATCTGTGACTGATTCCCAAATTGGAGGTTTGCTTTCTTCTGGAATGAATAAGCCTGTAATACATAATAAATATGTTTTAGTAGTAGTTATTTTTTTTATTAAAAACATTACCTACCCAAAAATAAATTCATAGCATGCTGTTTTTCTTGATCACTAAATGTATTACTATAATATCTACTTAACGTTTGCATAATATCATTTCCCTGACTAGTCCATGGAGCAGTTTTTCTACAATGAATAAAAATAATTCGTTTTATTAAGTTATTAAAAAATTTATATAATGAATTGGAAACAATAGAAACTGTTTATTAATAGCTCTCAAAGTCATACAAACTTTAGTTCCTTTAATTTTAGTTAAAGTTCAATTCAATTCTTTACTTCAATTTCATTAAAATCTTGAGAAAAATAAATTATATTTGAGTTCCTTATCTATTTAGAATATAGTACTGACCTGTAAGTTTTGATTCTGTGAACTAGTTGTGAACCTCCATATTGAAGAGCTAGTGTATCTCCATGATCTTCATAAAGTTCTTCAAGTAAACGAACACAATCTGTATCAAATTCTAATAATGGTGAATTTAATACGCCCAAACTATATAATTGATATTCTAATGCACATTTACCAATAGCAAATTGGGCTGTATTTGTACGATCCAAACAGTCAACACAATTAGTTCTTATAATACCATTCTGAAATGTTTTTTGCTTTGAAAATAATTGCTGGATTTCATTATTTACTTTCTTAACGTTATCCATGTTAAAATAGTTAATCGACAGATTTATATTTTGGACTTCTTTTACTAATGAAGTGGAGTTTATTTGCAATCCAAAACCTTGTTTTTGGTAAGGAATTTGAGATTTTTTATAGGAATAATTTGATGAATGGAAAATACCTGTTTTTAAAACAGCATTATTTGCAATATTAGCTAATCGCTCCATAACATTAGCCTCTTTCCTAAAAATGTCATCTTGTAAAATTAAGTATACAATTAATTATAAAAATTATTCAATTGAATTCTTACCCTTTATTCTTTCTAGCCATATCAAAACTTATATATTGAATATGATGTTCTAGAGGTAAAAATTGATTTAAATATTTAATAGCCATGCTGATTTCTTCACTTAATGTGCTTTCATGTTTTCTTTTCTCTCTCTTTTTAACTAGATTTAGTATGAAAACTGGTGATCCATATCTTTCTAGAAGATTATTGAAGTGAGCCCCTGGTAATTAATTAATTATGTAATAATGAAGATATAGAAATATTAAAAAAAAAATTATTTAAATGCAATATAAGAAATATTTTATAACAATTATCACTGGAACTATGTATTCAAATTTAGTACAAAATATGAAATTTGTACAAGACAAGAATATATATAAAATCTGTATGAATCGTGTGCCATACTCGTACAAAATTCATACAAATTTTTTCTGATAAGTGTGTTCAAAATTTGAACAAGTTCGGTATAAGTTTTTTACAAGTTTTGCATAAAATATAAAATTTACAAGAAAGTTATAAATTTTGTACTTATAGTAATCGACTTTTCCTTAAAAATTAAATAAATAAATAATACACGCATATTGTGGATAAAATAACGAAGGCAGCTTCCATATAAGATAAACCACATACAAAAAATGAAAAAAATAAAAGAAAATGTTTACTTAACCAAGATTTGAATCTGCCACCTTCATGTGAACAGACTCAATACTTTATCACTTAGTTACCAATAACTATTACGTGTATGTGATTTTTTGTAACTTAAGTATTACATGTAATCTTGAAACTGTTTATAAATGATTCGACCGTCTTCAATGAACTGTATTTTTACTAATAATATCGATAAATTTAAATTGAATATAAATATAAATGATCAGAACGAAACATATATTTATATATCTTCTTATACTATAAAATATATTTCACACCATTGTCGCCGGCGTGCAGTATCGAAAACCACTATTTCTAGAAGTCTTTAAGATCCTTATTAAGGCTTATAAGCTCTTAAATGAGTGATTGAGGGCCTAAGGATATTCTCTTAATAAGGCCATACTCTTAACAAAGTATATAATAGAGATCGACATATCCTTATTTAATATCAAGAGGCCATTTAATATAAGTGATTTTATATATACAATAAATATATATATCTGAAGCTAATTTATATAATTTTATCTATGACTAGAAGTTTATTAAGTGTGATTACCGCGCGCATGGACCTTTTAGACTTGACCAATTAACGTAATAATTAACCTATAACATAATTTATAAAATATTTAAAACATGTTTTTACCATATTTTTTATCATGTAATATATCATATAATACAATTAATAACAAATTTGAAAGAATTCTGTTACCGTACACGAGATAAAGCAACGTATAAATGTCCGTGACTAAAAACATTATTTCTTAAATCTATTTAAATTTTTTCAAAAGTTTGTCCATATGCTTTATTAATCGTCATTGCAAATGCTAATTTGATAGGATATTGTCGTCTTCTAAAAAGAAACGGATAATCAGTTTCTGACGAATATAAAGTTATACGATTAATAAATATTATGTCGCCTTTTTTATCATTCGTTAATATTTCACATTTTAGTATATTATTATTTCTAAAACTATTAATCGTGTATCATTATATATATAAACTTTCACTAATACTTAGACTTGGAATAAGCCTAACAACGGAATTTATTCTTAGAATATAATTTATAATTTTTGTAAATAAATTAAATCAATTTTACTTATAAGGTATTATTACATTAAAGTCATTATCAATTACGGGAGCACATAAATAAATAATTTGATTAGTTTAATTCCTCAGTCAGAAAAAATTAAAAATTATTAAGTATTCCACAGAAAAAGCATGAGAGAAAATATATACAAAAAAATATAAAAAATATAAATAAATTATTATAAAATGAATTTTATTTGAAAAGTATTGTTACGTTAACGTCATTGATAATTAAGGGAGCATATAAATAATAAATAAATTTCAGTAAGGAATTTCCTAAATGGAAAAAATGTTCATTCATATTAGTAAGCCCACCAGCGCGGAGCTCATTTAAGACGAAACTAGAATACTCGTACTGTTATGCTTAGAATTCATCAAAACGATCCTGGCAGAAAAATGATTGATTTAAAAAAAAATATACCATTAACTTCGTGTTAATTTGTACCACTCGAAAATTGCTTTTTTGGAATTTGTTTGGCTGCATGCGCGTCGTTCGCGCATGCTTGGATGCGTTCGAGGAGTCTCGAGAAAAGGTTGGTCGCAGTGTGAGCTAGCCAGGCTCACACTCAGGCGGTCGGTAAGGAAGTAAGCGTTTCGTCCCGATGTTACCGGCTGGACTCGTCAGTGAGGCTCGACGGCCGGTAACATCTGCCTCATACGCTCAAAGTGCGCGAGTCGCTATGCGGACTTATATGTTCAGCGAGCGTATTTCTTGCCGCTCGTGGCTAGCCGATGCCATCTAGATGTGGATGGCCGAATCGAGAACCGCCACATTTGTACCCCCCCCCTCCACAAATATAAAAAAAAAACAAAAAAATGATATTTCGGAAAACTCATACTCCTGGCAGAAAAATGATAGATATCTTAAAAGAAAAAAATACCACCAGTTTCATTTTAATTTGTACCATTAGAAAAATGCTTTTTTGGAATTTATACCCTCTCTAAAAATTTTCTAAAAATAAATAATTTCTAATTTTTTCTAAATTTTTTTCTAATTTTTTTCTAAATTTTTTTCTCATTTTTTCTAAATAATTTTTTCTAAAAATAAAAAATTTCTCTAAAAATAGAGAAAAAAAAGATTTTCGTAGGGTAGATTAGCAATTCAAATTAACGTATTACTGCGCATGCGCGGCGGAAAATCTATTTTCCAGCAGAAAAATATACGATTTTAAAAAACAAAATATATGAATACCTTCTTCTTAATTTGTACCATCTAAAAAATACATAAAACTAATTTGTATCCTTGTAGAATTTGAATAATACAATGTTTTTTGTGCGATTGTAATACTGATAAATTTTACAGGAAAATCTTTTATTTCTTAAGAAAAAAATATATTTCTAGCTTGACCTTAAATTTTACCAACTGAAAATAGTTTTATTGTAATTTTTACACTCTAAAATTTTATTAGACATGTTAATATACAAAGTCCTAAGTTAACGTGTGTTCGTAAACTCCTACATCCGCAAAAACAGCTGATTACTCGGATGATAAAGTAGGAAACTTTGATAGGAAAAATATTTATTTCCTAAAACAAAATACAGCACCAGCCTTGCCTTAATCAGTACCATTTGAAAAATAGTTATTTTGGAATTTGAACCCCTCGAAAATATTAAGAAAAAAATTAATTCGTAGTCTTATTCGATGATTCTAATTTCTTGTCTTCCGCGCTGCGGAAAATCTCTTTTTTCGGCGGAAAAATCGTGAAATTTTAATGTATAAGATTATGAATGTCTTCTTCTTAATTTGTACCATCTACGATATCCAAAAATATAATTTGTACCCGTGTAGTATTTGAATTATACAGCGTTTTTCATAAAAACACAGTAAAATGCAAAAAATTAATAAAATTTGTGATCCTGGTAGAAAAATGGTGAATTTTCTTAAATAATTTTAAGTAAATAGCTTTATGTCTCTTTGGACTATTCAAAATCATCTAAATTTTATTTTCTGTACCCCCCCCCCCTCAAATTCCAAATTCAAAATTATATTGAAGTTATAAGAGCTGCATTAATAGGAATGGGTTATTTTCTGAAAAATAATAATTCTGAAAAATTTCTAGAACAAATTGAACAGAATATAAAGAGTTGACTTTGTTACTGTTATCGTCAGCAGTATGTTTTGACACTTCAGCATTTGGTTCAGACCTGTAATATCTAAATTAAAAAAGAATTAAAAACAATAAATATCGATCTATAAAATTTTAATAATTAAACATACTTTGACACTATTTCACAATTACTTTTAACATTTTCAGAGTTAGACTCTGTTTGGACCGAAGTCAACTCTTTCCATTCTGTTCAATTTGCTTTGGAAATTTCAATTCGGTATTATGCTCTAGACATAATAATCTTATATTTGACTTATTTATTGTCAGCTGTTCTAGCTATAATAAAGAAAATGTTTCAAACAAGAATTATAATTTACTAAATTTACCATATGACCTATATGAATTTACAGAGCTGAAATAAGAATAAACTAATTAGGATTTGACAATTTATGATATGTTTACATTTTTCTTAATTCTTAAAAAAATAGTATGAGAATATAAATTATATTTGTTACAATACTTCTTTCTTTGGACTTTTACTCTTACTACTAGGTTACATATCGAATGGTACTTGAAAATATATAATCAGTACTTTCCGAGGCTAACATCAATTTAATATGCTAATGACCAAACAATAGCTATACTATATTGTACAATTGAGAATTTTCTTATTTTCCCTCTTTTAAACAAAACTAATTTGAAACGCGGAATTCGGACACGGTATAATGACAGAACAGCCACAAGTGTACAACAGACGTAGATGCGTTATGAATAGGAGAAAAAGAATTTTAGGATGGGTGACCGAATGCTCATCGCTGAGTGAAAAAGAAAAATACCATTTGAAATATCTCTAATTGAACCCTCCAAAAATGCTCATTATTTTAATTGAACCCCTTCAGTTGTCCCAAAAAAATTAGAAACTATGATAATTTTTTCGATTTTTGCAACTGCGATATCTTTAATAATAGTTAATATTTTTGCAAAGAAACAAGACAAAAAAATTGAACCCTTACTCGTTTTAATTGCACCCCTCTTACTTTTTCAAAATTATTAATATGTATGTCAAAAACAACAATCTAATTTTATTGTATGTTGTTTCCAAATAACCCGATAATCTATTTTTTTTTTTACTTTGGCGACGAGATTGACTGCGACACATAGGAGAGGAGAGCTCGGAGAGGAGACAAGAAGGACAAGAAAGGACAGAAGAAGGACAAGAAAGAAAGTGAGAGTGTCTGTGTGTGGGAGAAGTAGTGTTTGTAGCAACTGTGTGCGTGCGACGGCCTTCTGACACCTGCGCCTGCCTCTTTGGAGGCCCTTTTTGTTGTTGAGCGCCTACTGCGAACCATCTTCTTCGGGGTAGCGATTTGTAAGTACAGTCGCGTACCTTTTCTCTCTCTCTCTCTCTCTCTCTCTCTCTCTGCTTTACCGCGTATGT